TTCGATGTGTGCTGTCATCACACATACACACACACACAAACACACCACCACCACCACCACTAGCCCTTTCCCAAAGGTGCTCTTTTAATTCGCACTTAATGCTTTTCGCGTCCCTCAAAATAATTATGCTGAAACAGGCTCTTCTTTCAGTGAAAACAGGCAAAAAGTGCTCTTTTTTCAGTGAAGCATAGTCATGATACATGTTCAGATATGAACCCAAGCTGAGAAATGAATACGCCCTCTTCCATTTATGGGTCCACGAAAGACAAAACAGGAAGTAAAGTTCACAAAACCCACTTTTTACAGCATTGTGTACACCAGGTACAAGCTTCACCAACTTGTTGCCTCCCAAAAAAGCGGCGTGCCAAGGCCCATCGTCGGCATCGAGTTCTCGGAAACTGTGATCGCATGCATGAGCAAACAGATTTTAGCACTTTTTCAGCTAAAAGAGCTCAAAAAAGGCGATATTCACCAAAAAACGCGATAAAGGGCGAAAGAAACGGGCTTTTCCAAAAAGGGCCAAAAAGGGCCAAAAAAGGGCGAGCACCTTGGGTAAGGCCCCGGTCACACATGCACTTTTTTTGAAAGCTTGCACCGCTTTTGCGGAGGCGGAAAGCGGAACTACCGCAGCACGATGCAGCGGTCACACATACATGTAGACTATACTGTGCTCCTCAACGCTCCGCTTTGGCGGAGAGAATGCAAATGCAGCACGTCCTATGAAATTTTAGATGTTCTTGTCCGAGTTGAAGCGACCTTCGCTTGTACAAGTAGAGCTATCGTTGATCGCTGACAGGCTAGGCTGCTGAATGTCTCCTGTCAAGTACACTCGTGGATTTGGGGCGCATTCACTGCGGCCCAGTACAGGTGTATTTGAATATTACTAGTTTTGGTTTACATCAATATCAAATTCAAATAGTTGTATAGCAGGGTGTCGTTGCCTCCTTCTCGTCGGAGTTGAAGCGACCTTCGCTTGTACAAGTAGAGCTATCGTGGATCGCTGACAGGCTGCTGAATGTCTCCTGTCAAGTACACTCGTGGATTTGGGGCACATTCACTGCGGCCCAGCACGGGTGTATTTGAATATTAGTTTAGTTTACATCAATATCAAATTCAAATTGTTTTATAGCAGGGTGTCGTTGCTTCCTCCATGATCGATCATCGACCCAGCGACTGCGTGGATGCCTGCAGTTGCAGTGAGGGTGTGGCAGAGTACTCTACTACTCCCTGGTTGCAGTCCTAGTGTTGCATACTCTGGTGGACGTATTGCTTGGAGAGAGAAGGAGAGAAGGAGAGAGTTCGAGATCGTCCACGATCGGGGCCAATGAGTTGGGAGACGGATTCCCTCACCAATTATCCACTCATAACGATGCAGTATTGTTTGCGAGATCTCCAGAACGTACAGTTCATTGGCAAAGAAGAACAATATGAAAACTGAATACCAAACGGCAACCAAACAACACCAGAACTCAGTGCAGAAGTAGCACACCAAACTCCAAAGCCATCACCATGCAGGTTCCGCCAAAGCGGATCCGCGAAAGCGGAGGGTCCGCTCGCATTTTTTTGGCGTAGCGAAATCCAAACTTTCCGCCAAAGCGTAACTTACGCCTCCGCCGTTGCCTCACGCCGTTGCTGAGGCAACGGCGGAAGCGTAAGTTACGCTTTGGCGGAACCGCCAAAAAAGTGCATGTGTGACCGGGGCCTTACCACCACCACCACCATCACCTGATCACCACCACCATTGACCATTAAATTTGAGCCGGCGCAAGCGAAAAGGGACCTTATCCTGCTGCACGTGATTTTGAGAAAACCGCACTTGAAGTGAATCAGCTGATTCTCAGCTGTCACGTTCGGATCGAACTTGAAACTGTTCGTTTTTTGGCAATACGCGACTTCTTTGGAGCTCAGTCATTCTTTCTATTGGAGAGCCAGTATCCTACAGCTCCTGTAGAAGAAAACCCTGGCTAAATCGACACACATACCACCGATCGGCGATCAAAATCGATCGACCGTGACACGTCGACACCTAGTACCTCCGCTGAATAGAATCGCACGCGCGAGAGGAAAGACAAAAAGTTGCTTTCACAGTTTCAGTGCAGTTGTCTTGCCGTCTTCGCTTTCTGCTAAGTCCTTGGGTCGGCGTAGCTCTTCGCTATGAGCCATCGTAAATGTTTCACCGTGAACGAAGCGCTGAAATCTCTCCTGGAAGAGGATGAGGCTGAAGTTTTTGGTGATGAAGAGGAGTCGGACGCCAGTGATGTTTCGGTTCAATCTGACGACGGCGACGATGATGGCGATGACGATGACGATGGTGAACACTTTCTTGAGCAGCGAGTGGATGTCGACGCAGCAGCAGAGCTGTATGTCGGAAAGGCAGAGCCCAAACCTCCGCAGGCTAGCTCCGCAGCAGCTTGTGCAGCGACCGTTGCGCGGGCAGAGGAGGATGACACTGTTCGTCAAAAAGAGAACTGCGGATGTTCAAAAAATTGCTTGCAGCAATTTGACCCAGCTGACATCGAGACGTCGATCCTGAACATGAGAGAAATGGAGTCGCACGAGAGTGAGCTGGTGGTCCTGGGCCTTTTTGAAGCTTTGAGTCATCCTGAAACAGTTTTTGAGAGTGGAGAGAAGCGCAAGAGGGAGCGTTTTACCTACAAATTCCAAGGACTGACTGTGTGGGTGCGTTCCGTCACGTGTACGCACTGTCTAGCAAGAGGCTGAAACGGTACAGAAGCCACCTGGAGAAGAATGGGCTTGTGCCACTAGTGCATGGCAACACAGGCAAACGGCCACACAATGCCCTGGAGTTTGCTGTTGTGAAGTACTGCGTGGAATACATCACTGGGCACGCGGAAGTGTTTGGAATTCCACATCCTGCGCCACTCCGTGGCAGAGACGACACGCCACCTATCTTCCTTCCAGCATCGCAAACGTACAAGTCCGTGCATGCAGACTTCTGCGACTGCTGCCACAAGGAGGGTAAGAAGTCTGTATCCTTGTCGACGTTCCGCTCCATCTGGCACCAGACATTACCGCATATTAAGTTCATGACGGCTCGCATGGATGTTTGCCCTGTGTGCGAGGACTTGCGGCGCAACGTGATGGCGGCTGGGAGTGAGGAGCAGAAGACGACCGCATGCACTCAGCTGACTGACCATGTTCATAGGGCCCAGAGGGAGAGAGAGAGCTACCGGCAGAGAACCACAGATGCTGCCGCTGAGCTTCAGCAAGTTTCAGCCATGTCTCCTGCTGATCGCCCGCCGTTAACAAAGTCCCACTACACGTTTGACTTTGCTCAGAGCGTCAGCTTGCCGTGTACGGCAAGACAGGTAGGACCACTTTACTTCAAAGTGCCTCGGAAAGTCCACTTGTTTGGTGTATGTAATGAAGGCGTTGGCCAACAGGTGAACTGCATTATTGGCGAGGCAGAAACCATCGGTCCTGACGGCAAGAAGAGCCACAATCCGAACACTGTAATTTCTTTGTTGCACGACTATTTTTCCACGTCTGTTGCTGATGAGTATGACTGCTACGTACATGCAGATAATAGACCCTTTGCACAATAACGGTCACGTGATCCGAGACGGGCATCCTCTTCGATTTTTGTGCAGAGTATCAGTTGTTGAGCATGGTGGAACACTGTATTTTTCCATTTTGGAGATGGAGGAGAGAGTGTCGAGTGGTTTGCCATCGATGGCTGTGGAACCCGTGGACGAACTGTCAAATGAAGATCGGTTGTGTAAGGAACTGAACAGTTTTCTGCTGAATGAGGGTGCGTATCTGTCTGGAAAAAGAAGGAGTTGTTGGAGCGGTAAGTTTTCCGCATTCAGTGGATATTTCGGATTACTGTAGATTGAAATTTATTTTTATTTTCTCTACCTTCTCTCCTCTGTCGATGTAGAGAACACTTCTCTATGCAGAACCCTGATGCTCCTAGAACTAAGAAGGGCACCACTTCCTCGAGTGTACCTTCATCATGCCCAACATTTCATGCGTCCCAGTGGATGAGTGATGAACCTCTGTTTCCCAGAGTGAGTGCCACACCATGCTTGCTCGTCTCCAACGCAGGGGCAAGTCGCCGACGACAGTGAAGAGGGAGCTGATGGAGTAGTACTAGTGAACAAGCCCGTGGATAGTGTCCATGAGTTTTACTTTGGTGGCTATGTGCATAATGTGAAAGTCTGTCATATCGTGCACACAGCCACAGCTCGAACTCAGATGACTTTCTCCGCACACCTGAGCGATGAGGCCGCGTCTCTCTCCACTTCAACAACAGCAGCTCGAGCAGCGCCAGCAAGCAGTCGATCTTCCAATAGCGAAGACAGGGATGGGTCATGCCTTTTTCTCAAGCTCCAGAGTCTCTTGGCAGGGCGTTCCATATCTTCGCAAAAGCAAGGATGAAAGTCGTCATGGACAAAGTGTTCCGAGCACAACACTGTAAACGATATCGCAGCACTGCGGCCCTCAGTACCCGGCCCTCTTCTCGCCAGATAGCCAGGATTCCAGAGTGTGGAATGCCAGCATCACCAGGGAACGCATGGAAAGACAAGTGGGTTCCTTAGACTAACGTTAGGGATGACGGTTGCTGCAAACAAGAACCCAACAGTGGTCCTTGGAAAGCATTTCGGGACTTCTTCCTTCAGAACTAGAAAAACTTGAAAATGAAAAAAGGCTGGGGAGTACATACATGAACATCGCGTCGGGACCGTGAAAACACAGCCTGTCACAGGAAACTTGATCACGTCCTGCAGCAAAACCATGCATGCTGGTTGCATGCCAAGTGTGCAGCGCGTGCACAGCATGCCCCGTCTCGACCCCTCTCGCTTATTGCGCAAAGGGTCTATTGCGCAGGACAAAACAAAAATAAATGTCTGTTATAGCTTACCCTGCATGGCGTTGCATTGTCAATTTGCACAGAAGTATAACATTGTCGTTTATGATAACCGGCCATACCAGATGCCTAGTCGACGGTATGTTTGGCTTGGTTAAAGGGGAACTCCACGAAAAAATGAAACTTTGATAGCCTGTAGAGTTTCGGGCGCTGAGTCGAATGGTCTTGGTCCGAAGTCTCTACGACGAAGCGTTCTTGAGATATTTCACTTTGAAATTGCAAAAACGGGGGCCGCGCCCTGACGTCATGCGGCCATTTGGTTACATCATCACGGGCTGCCTACGTCATTGTGGCAAAGTCGTTTCTCTTCGCCAGTCTACAAGCACTAATTTTAGTTGGTATTTCAAGGGAAGATGGGCGATTCCGAACAATCCTCTGTCCCCAGCAATGAAGGCAGCGATGCTGAGGCCAGTGAGGACGACCAACAGCCCACCGCCGCGTATGGTTGGGGCAGGGAGCCCAGATACTCTGCTGAGGAGCTGCCATCGCGTGTAACAAATGTGGAGGAAGAAGATGCGTCAGCAGCTGCGTCCGACAGAAGACGAGTAGCTTGGCCACCAGAATCTCGATTCGTTTGGGACTCCGACTGGTGCGAGCGTGGACAAAAGTGTATAGCCATGCCCAGCCCGCGGGAATGATTTTGCTGGTAGGATGCTGCCGTCGCTGTCGACAAGACGGCCCAAGGTTTCTTGCGTAGCGGACCTCGCAGATTACGAGATCGTATCCTTGCATTAGGCTGTGCTCATCACTGCTCTTCGAGGTTATCTCGACATGCAGAAGCCGCCAATGCCAGTGACAGAAGAGTCTGACATTAGGTAAGCCTCAATTAGTTTGCCTTGACTTGTCTTGTGAGGATCGCGTATCAGCATGATACACTTATTCTTATTTTTTGGGGGAAATTTATTGTTGTCAGGCGCACTACAGTAGGCGTCGCACAAGAAAGGCATTGTACTGGTAGTTATCACAAGTTTCATGCATGACACAAACAAATTTCTCTTTGCTCCGAGTATGTCTTGACTTATCTTGTGAGGATCGATGCGCGTAATGTTTTGTGTGTAACTAATTATTGTTGTCAGGCATAGCACGAACAACGTTGTTCTGTACTATAGACCGTGCTATCACAAGTTTTCATGCATGACTCACATTTGTCTTTGTCATTTTCCCTTGGATTGGTACAAGATCTACAAAGTATGGTAGGCAGTGTTCTGTTGGTGAAGAGAGCACTGCACACAGTTTATGAGCACCATGGGTGCATTTGATCACACCCGAACCCATACTTTATCGTTTCAAGCGATAGACTTTGTCAATAAACTCGTTTTCTAGTATACCATGGCATGCAACGTACAAGCGTGGGGTCAAGAAAGCGTACACCAAAATAATGCACAAATTCTGGCAGGAGAGTAAGAAATCTGTACTTTCTGACCAAGACATCTCTGTACTAGTAGGTAATCGAACGCGTCCTAATCAGTATTCATCCCCCAGATCATTGGAATTCAATTTGAAATCAGCAATTATGGTAAATTCTACAAGACCCTCCATCTTTGTACCAGTGGACACTAAATTAGTATGGCGCGCGCACTGAAAGTGCAGGTAGGTACCGGTAGGTGCAATACAGCGCATATGTAGAGTAAATGAGTATTTGACTATAATAATTATTACGGTACAGCAATGTGGTATGTGTACAAGCACTCATCATACACATTCCATATGACATTCTGTGTTTGTGTAGATCTCTACGCTATGCGGCACACAGGCAGTACACACTATGTACACGGCAAATTGGGCAAGCACGTTCGTTGTCGTCTTCCAGCCTGCGTTGTGAATACCATCAGGCAAAGATATCCAAATCCTGCACCACCTCAGCCTTCTCAGGAGGCTTCCACCTGGAATTTGGCAGGGAAACACGCTTCTCCAAGGCAGGAACATGGAGGTTGCCATTTGCAACCGCTACCACCTCACACATGAGCTTGTCAACATACTCATAGCTCTTTCTGTCGTATAATTTTCTATTTGGCCACAGTCTTCTTTATGCTTTGAGAACTGGACTTTATACCTTCTTTTCGCGGTCTTTTTGGTTGTGCTGTGGCGACGGTTGACATTGACGTCGTCAAGAGCTGCGAGATGTGCGTGTCCAATCATCCCCAGAATTGAGAAACGAATGCGTTTGAGAATGTAGTTTGGCATGACACTGTGATATACCTGCATGGCAAAAAGAATGTGGAGAAAACACACTTGCTTAGACAATATACTGCTGTATGGGAAAATGGAAACTTCACCGTACAGGACGACTCTTGTTCTCAATTGCATTGTTCGTTTCATTCCCTGTGTTGCCCATAAGAGACGGGAGCAAAAATGTTGCAGCAGATGTTTGTTGTCTTCTGGCGTGGAGTGGCGGCGTCATTAGATGTACACATAGTCATTTCACTAAGTATACCACTACTACAGCATATGTACTATCCTTAGGCTAGCGTGCGTGCGAGTGAGTTTGAGTATGTGGGTGCGTATGTGTGTGTGTTGTTGTGTTTGTGTGTGTGCACGCACACGCACGCGCGCGCATGTGGGTGATGGTGTGAGTGCATGTGTATAATATGTGTAGTTCCCACTGTATTCCTTGCACAATAGGTCTTCACTTACTTCTCTTTCGCATACAACCAGAACCCATTCCTTGTTCGAAATTAGATTTTTTTTGGCCTGGTGATCCCGCAAGCGTGGAACTCGGAGTGTAATATATTTTTGTTTCACTTTACTTGCACTATTCCAAGGCTGTCCAGACTTCTAACAACTGCTCTGAGTGATATGGTATTCATGCAACCATGCCTAGAAGTAGGGTAGCTGTTATAAATAGAGACATATCCACGCAATCAACTTACACTGGTTCAGTTTGGCAGGATTGGTGAGACAGTTCGTCGTGCATGCTGCCTGCACATCGCAAGCAAACAGTTCTGTAACCTTCGTACTTGCTGGGGGTCTGTCTGTTTGCGTCCCAGTTGATGACAGATGTGCACAGTTTGAGTACTGGTATGGCAAAGTTACTGGGGTAATATCGTTCATCAGCTAGCTGCAGTCGGAGTTGATGGGGTGATGTACTCTTCTGATCCTGATGGGACGTATCTCGCCCTGCTTTCTCAGTTGCAGCTTGTTGAGTTCGCTTTGCTGGAGGCTCACGGTTCGGAGGGCACTGGTACACTGATGAGGGCTTTCCTGGACGGCGTACTCGTCAAAACTCAGCTCTCAAGTCCCTCTGGATCATAAATGCAGCGAGCAAACATAGCTCGTGCTGCGAAAATAGGCTTGAAATTTTCACGACGCATTGCAACATCTCGGCGCTTTGCCAGGTCTCCATCCTTTGGGAATTTGAGAAAACTAACCCCAGGAGGATGATGTGATACTGGCACAATCAACAACACAACAATTTGGCATTGCAGCGGCTCAGGCGACTTGGCAAACTACTTTCTGAAGTGACTTTCGTCCTGAAGAAAGTGAGATTCAAAATCCAAGTATTTTCGCACATTGCCACAATGACGTCACACATACATTGGTATGGGGCGTGGCTAAAATTGAAATATCTCAAGAACGCTTTCTCGTAGAGACTTCGGACCAAGACCATTCGACTCAGCGCCCGAAACTCTACAGGCTATCAAATTTTCATTTTTTCGTGGAGTTCCCCTTTAAGAAGAAATGCCGTCGCTCTGACGTGTTCAGCATGCAGCAGTTAGCAGATGTGGTTGACTCCAGCGCTACCTCCAACATCCATCGACGGATCCCTGGCAATGTGACCTGGTTTGAGTGGGATACGTACCTCGCCCGGCTCTTCAAAAAAGTCCCCAACATCAGCCAGCAGCATCATTTCCGGTTCTCATCCGACGAACCTGGATCAGTGGCAGTGATGGAGCTTGTGGATGGGATGGAAACCAAGGTGCAGCTGTTGAAGACCACACCTGAGCAGGTGAGGGCAGCAGGCCTTCCCCAAGTGTTTCCCCCAGCAGGTCTGTCACAAGAACGCCAGAAGTACCTGTTCAAGGATATCCGGCCGTTTGTGGCAGACCCTTACAAGGATGAGCTATGTCCGCCTGTGCCGGAGGAATGACAAACTTGCGTCATGCAACACACGTTTTGAGCCTGATAATTGCTAGAGTCTGGTGCTGTGTCAAAGCTACATGCCTCAGAACATTATATTATTCTTGTTGTTAGATCTAAAATGCGGCATGCCTGCGTGGTACGGAAGGACGTGATGGCCCATCAGACGTCACGCTTGGCACTATAAATTCCATCACAGTGAAACTTATGCCGACTGCCCAGTAGTGTGTGTATACTGTATCCTCCAGCCCTTCTGCTGGTGACTCGAAGGCTTCTGTAAGGCTTCTATGGCCAAATTATTGCAATTTACGCATTTCAAAGATTATTCGTGAATATGTGCGATGTTTTGGTGAAAACAGTGTTGATTTAAACGTCCGTACCTTTGCTATATGTTGATGGATTTTCATTCGGTTTTTTACCTGATTCATACGTTCTCTGGCTACAACTTTACAAGAATCCGCTGCTAACTCAAAATGCCCAAAAAAACGGGTAAGGTCCCTTTTCGCTTGTGAGAGGCGATGATAGCGATGCTATAGCAGAGGCCATAGCAACTTCTGCTGGGATTACACACACACACATAATTATACACACACTCGTACGCACACACAAACACACACACACACACACCATACAGGCGCGTGCTCGGCGATGGGCACGGGGGGCACGTGCACCCCCAAAAATTTTCAATCTGGGTAATTGCAATTGTAATGTATGCAAATATGCTCTAAAATTCAAGAAAGGTTGCAAATTGCAGAAAATTGCCGGGGAGCTCCCCTCGGCTCCCGTGCACCCCCCCCCCCCCTAGTTGGGGGGCCGAGCACGCCCCTGCCATACATGTACATGTATACGCCCGTTGCAAGAGAAGCACGCAAATCTGCATATACCCTGGATATGGATGTGCACTCACAGATTTTCTCTTATTCATGTACTGAAGTAGCAACGATAGCGGACAAGTGTTCTACTGGGGATACTACCATTTCCTGCAATTTCTGAGCAGCCTTTTCTTCTAAAACCGTTTGTCTGAGTGTGGGAACTATAGGTCATCTTTCCATCCGCTCGTGTACATGTAACTTCTAGCACATCGGTGCAGTTTGTTTCTGCGTACATGTATATCACCCGCATACTCTCTCTCTTTCTCTCCCTCTCGTTGTTGCCTACAGCAGGCTACTGCAGCTGTGTCCTTTTTCACTTTCTGCTCCACATGACAGTACAATATACATGTGTTATAGCCCGAGAGTGAGGGCTTGTAAATAATTACTGCCGATGGATGTCACTTCTCTGCGTTTGACGTCACAGTATAAGAATGAGCAGAGAAGTAGTGCTCTCTGTCCACCCGGGAACAGGTATGAGGGAGTACGGTGTGGGATAAAAGGATGTGACGAGTGCAGGGTCGGGCCTCTTTTGTCTTTGTGCGGAGAGTTGAGTGAGAGTGTGGAAAGTTGTTTTGGTTAAGAGAAGAATGTCGAGGTCGAGAAGTGTGTCAACGAGTGGTAGTGGTAGTGAGAGTGAAGGGTATGGCGAGGAGAGTAGGAGGATGAGAGAGCTGGTTGTGAGATTGGAGACGTGGGAGAGGAAGTTGGAGAAGACGGAGAGTCGTAAGAGAAAAGAGAGAGAGTAGGAGTAGCAGTGAGAGTGAGAGTGAGTCAGAGAGGAGCAGGAGCAGGAGAAGTGGCAAGAGTAGAAGTAGCAAGAGGAGAAACAGCAAGAAGAGCAAGAGGAGCAAGGAGAGTAAGCAGATGAAGAGTGAGAGACAGGACGAGAGGGTGGCGTCGGCGAAAAAGAGATTTTGGAAGGCCAAGGCCCACGAGGAGCAATTCAACGTGCTGAGCAAGGCGTTGGAGCCTCTAGCCAAGGCAAGGCAGAAGGCAGAGCGACAAGGAGAAGGAGATATTGCAAGGGGAATAGAAGAAGCGTCAGCATATGGCTCTGGCTTGACCCACAACCGGCTAAATCGCTTGCAGATGGCCCAAAACCACGCAGCAAGGATGGAGGCCAAGGAGGGGAAGAGGAGCAACAGTAAGCCCTTTCCAGGAGGCCGCCCGGCCGGGGTCGGGCTCGGAGCGGCTGCTCGCATGCAGACCATGCCGGTTGCGCCGAAACCACCCGGATTCGGTACCATCTTCAACGAGCTGGCCTGTTGGCGGTGAGGAGGGAAGGGGCATGTGCAGAGGGACAGGGGCAGACCAACGTTGAGAGAGAGAGAGAGAGAGAGAGAGAGAGAAAGAGAGAGAGAGAGAGAGAAAGAGAGAGACAGAGAAAGAGAGAGAGAGAGATAGAGATAGAGAGAGAGAGAGAGAGAGAGAGAGAGAGAGAGAGAGAGAGAGAGAGAGAGAGAGAGAGAGAGAGAGAGAGAGAGAGAGAGAGAGAGAGAGAGAGAGAGAGAGAGAGAGGGAGAGAGAGAGAAAGAGAGAGAGAGAGAGAGAGAGAGAGACAGAGAGAGACAGAGAGAGAGAGAGAGACAGAGACAGATACAGAGACACACAGACAGACAGACAGACAGACAGACAGCTACAGACAGACAGAGAGAGACAGACAGACAGACAGACAGACAGACAGACAGACAGACAGACAGACAGACAGAGAGAGACAGAGAGAGACAGAGAAAGACAGAGAAAGACAGAGAGACAGAAAGAGACAGAGACAGAAATACAGAGACAGAGTGACAGAGACACAAACAGCTGACTGAAGAGTAACCATGCTAAATCAATGATTAATATACATTCAATAATGTGTTACGAGAACAAAACAAAGTGCTAAAATAGAATGAGGGAAGGTGAGACAATAGAAGTGAAGTGAGAGCTAAGTGCAACAGGGGTGAGGAACTAATTACAACGCTAGAACTGTGTATTGAGACAAACAATCATGCTGTGCACCTACGAAAACAATCTTAACGCAACTACATGTTTCTTCTGCTTACAAAGATCAGGCTTATGCAAACGAATACAAACAGCCTCAAGTACTTTCAACTGACTAGCGTACC